CCGGCCGGGGGGGGGGGGGGGGAGTTAGATGGGAGAGGACCTATGAGCACCCTCCTGCTCAGCTCCTTCTCCCTGAGCATCCCTGAGGGCTCCCAGGGACCACCAGATAGGATGGCCGTTTGGCACCCCCGAAAACACCTGTGACATTTTCTCAGCATCCATTCTGGGCGCTGGAGGGAAAGATAGTGGCTGCCCTCCTGCCTGGGCTTATGGGCTTCCTGGGTGCCTCTGGCTGGCCACGACTTACACTGTGTCACCCCTCCACCCCCGGATCACTTCTGGGGGCTATCTGACACTTGCTTTGCCTAGGGGTCTTAAGACACTTCTGTCTCTCCTATTGCAGGTCCAATGCCCTCTGGGTCTCGGAGCAGCTCCTCTGCCCCACCTGGCAACACCTCTGGCCCCCTCAACCCCAACCTGCCTTTTCCTTCCTCTCCAGATCCACCCCCATCCCAGAACCCTTTGTCACTTATGATGTCCCAGATGTCCAAATACGCCATGCCCAGCTCCACGCCACTCTACCACAATGCCATCAAGACCATCGCCACCTCGGATGATGAACTGCTCCCTGACCGGCCCATGCTCCCGCCTGGGGCTATCTCTGGTAAGAGGCAGGGTGGGCAGGGTCGGCACACAGCGTGCTGGGTGTGGGTGGGTGGGTAGACCTGCATCTCTGCACCACCCACCTAACCAGAACCAAGGGAGGTGGGATTTCCACTGGAGACATTTCTGCCCCATTCCCAGGGTCTCAGCGGGCCTCTTTGCTCAAGACGGGTCCAGCCACTGGGGCGAGCTTCCCGTCCCTCGTGAGGCAGAAGCTTCAGCCAGAAACCTCTCTTGCCCTCCACAAATGGGGTTTGTTGCAGTTTCCCCTTCACTGTGGGAACAGATTTTGCTCTGGGGAAGGGGAGCCCCCTGCAGGGAGCAGCTAACGGACACAGAAAGCCAGGGTGAGCAGGAGGAAGAAGACTCTTCTTTCTCCCCAAAGCCCAGGGCAGCAAGGCTCTGGCAGGGGCTGGCCAGCAATCAGCATTAGCCCCTATCCCTGCTCAGCAGCCGGGTTGCTTCCGAGGAAATTCCAGGCCACTCGGCCTCCACACGTCGGAGTCCGGAGATAGCCTTGAAGAAGGCATGTGGGGACCGTTAGATAAGCAAAAACTCGGTCCAGGGAAAGAGGAGCGGGGGAGACGGGAACTCAAGATAGCCCAGCCTTGCCTCTTTGGTGCAAGAGGGGCAGAGGGACATCCTGCCGGGCGCTCAAGGTTCTTTTACTGAACCCCACAACAATGTAGCTGAGTTCTAGTGGTCCTTGCAATGTCTTCCCCGATCCGGCCCACCTCCGAGGGCCCTAACCTGTTTCACTTTCCCCCACAGGCATGGGAGGGAACCAGCCCAATCCGATGCACGTGAACTCTGTGGGGCCAGCCCCTGCTCCGAGCCCTATGGGCCTGAACCTCCCCGGACAGCAGCTGCTCTCCCAGGAAGTAGCAGCCCCTCCAATGTCTTCGCCAAGCCCCCTGGGTGCCAGCCTCCCCATGCACAGCAGCGCTCCTGTGCAGAACCCAATGATGTTGCCCCCTGGCCCCCCGGACTCCCTGGGCCAACCCTGCGGCCCTTCTGGTCAGCTGGTGTTTCCGCCACGCCTGCAGCAGCCCCCCACCAATGGGGGAGGCATCCCAATGGCCCCAGGAGGGGCGGCCGGACCCGGGTTGCAGCAGCCGCCTCCACCGCCGCAGCAGCATTATCCGCCTGGCTTGGGACTCCCTCCGGAGGAGCTGCCCCCTCAACAGGCAGGCCCCGTCGCCCCGCCTCCACAGCAGCGCATGGCCGGGAGGCTGCCTGAGCCCTACGCCCCAGTGCTTCCTGGAGTTGCTTCGGTGCTGAGCGACCCGGAGCTGAGCGACGTGATCCGCCCCACACCCACAGGCATCCCTGAGTTTGATCTGTCCCGCATCATCCCTTCTGAGAAGCCCAGCAGCACGCTGCAGTACTTTCCCAAAGGGGAGGGCCAGGGGGTCAAGGCCCTGCCCCCCTCCAACCTGCACCTGGTGAACTTGCAGAACATGATGGCGGAACAGGGCCCGGCCCGGCCCGGCCCACAAGGTGTGCAACGCGGAATGGCCATGTGCCACCCTGGACAGATGCCCGTACTGGGTAGGACAGGCCTGGCCCCCCAGCAGACCATGGTGGGCAACAGCTTGCACCAAGGCCTGATGCTGCCCCAGCAGAACCTCATGGCCCAGCAGAACTTCCTGCTCATGCAGGCCAAGCAGCGCAGCATGTCTGTCTCTGGAGAGATGTATGGGCAGCCAGGGCACCTGATCTCCCCTCAGGGTTCACTCATGGGCCCTCCATCCCAGCAGAACCTCATGGTCTCCATGCGGCAGCGCAGCGTCTCCTTGGACAGCCAGATGAGCTATGGGCCTGGAGCTGGCAGCATGGCCAACCTGCCCTTCTAAGGAATTTCCTCCAAGTGGGGATGCCTTGTTTCCTTTGCCTCTCAAAGCCATCCAAAGGGCCGGAGGGGTTGGGGTGGTGTAAATAGGTTTGGGGGAGCAGCAGCTGGCTCAGCCTTCTCTGTGTTGGCATAGACAAAGCAGAAATGGAACCCCTTGACCACTTTCCCTGGCGCTAGATAGATTTCCCACCCAGAGGAGCTACCCGCCTCTCCTCCCTCCTGCCACAGAGCAGCGTGCATGCCCTGGCTGCCCACAGTGGCTGGTTGCCCCCAGGCTGGTGGTGGGACACGGCCTGAGGTGGAGAGAAATTCTCTCGAGCCCCCATCCCCCAGTTAGCTCTCCTTACAGGACGTTGGCCCCAAACCAGTGGGCGCGGGTTGGCACTCTCCACCATGCTGTGGATGTATCCTTCCTGGCATTAACAGCCAGAGCAGGAAGTAAGAGTGGGTGTTCCACTCATTGTTGGGCACCCATTCTTCAGCGTTTTTTTCCCCCTGTAGGGTGCCAGTCTGGGTAAGCCCACCCAAATCCTCCCCTTTGATTCAATGCCACCCCCACTCTTTCTCCCTGCACCATGTTGGGGAACAGCCGTTGGATGGCTCCTTGCCCTGATTCTGCTTCTGCGCTTGTCAGGGAGCAAGACCAAGGGGAACAGGAGACGTGGGGTCAGAGAAAGAAAGAGTCTTCAGGAGGAAGAAAGGTTGCTTTCACCTTGCAGTGGTTGCCTACTTTTAAATAGACAGTGAATGAAGAGAGGCTAAAAACGAATGTGTGCCCTTGGGAGACTGAATTACGTCCCCAGAGGAATGGTTAAGAGTCTACGCTAGAGGCGCAAGAGGGCAAGCCTTGTATCCCCAGGTCCTTGGTAGCCAGGGCGTGAAGGGGCTTGCCTGCCCCTCGCAGAGGGAGTCCCCAGCTCTTCCTTTACCCTCCTAGTTTTGTCTAGAACAAGCGAGTGCCCAATTACAAACTCCTGTTCCTGGGCAACCAGCAGCCTGCTCCCTATTTCCTCTCTGCCTGCTCAGTGTTTGAGGAGCTTCCCGGGGTTGGGCTGGGCTGGGCCAGGCTTTTGGGGGGCAGGGGGAGGGGGCAGGCCTGGGTGGCTCCTTCTGGCAGATGCATCTGGCTTTGCTAAGCTGCAGCGCATCTGCAGTTTTAAACTTGGCTTGTATGTGTGCGTGCTTCTGCGCGAGACCTTCACCCTCCGGCCTGTTGGCAGCGAAGTCCAGAAGGGATAGGGTTTGAGGGAAAGGCTGTTAAAGAGGCTACAGAAAAGCGTGCTGGGGAGATCAGACAAGAAGATTAATTGCCCCAAGAAGCAAGGGGAATGTTGATTTTTCATGGTGTCTTGCAGCGTTTACTCCAGCAAAAGCCTGGCTCTGAATTTCTCCACAACAGTGAAGCCTGGCAGAAGGGTGCTTCCAGTGACCTGTCCATCCTGCTCATCTGCTTGAAGCATTCATAGGCTCCTCCGCTGCCCCCCAACCCCCGGCTTTGCCTTGTGCTGTGAACGTGGTTCTGTCTCGTGTCTCCTGCCTCCCCTCCCTTGCTTCGCTCCCCAGCTTGGGTCGCATCTGCTGAGCGCCCTGCTTTCCTCTGCAGCCAGTCAGGATGAGGCCAACGGAAGAGGTGCCGTTCTGGGTAACCCAAAGCACCTGCAGCTGCCAGGGGGCGCTGGTCTGCTCCATGCCATCCCCTGCCAGCCATGCATTTTGTACCAGTCTATAAATAAAAATATATAAATAAATATAAATATAAATATAAATATATAAATACAATATGTGAAGACATCTTACTGGTTTTTATTTTGAAATGATTTCTAGGCTTGTTTTGGGGTATCTGTGCTGCCTGTAACGTATTGATTGACCTGTTTTATAGGTGCCTTTTTATTAAAAGAAAAAAAAAAACCACCTGCCAGGAGCCTTCTGTGGTGTCTTTATCTCTACAGGTGCAGGGACTGGCCACTGGACAACTGGGTTGAAACCTCGCCACCCCCAAGTTTTGAGAGGTACCTCCCACCATGACTGTTAGGACCCCTCTTCCCAAGGCCTGCCTTAGGCACTTCCTTCCCAATTCTTTTAAGTAGTTCTACAGTCAAATGTTTTGTTGTTATAAATGGTGGGGGTTTGTCTTATGTATTAATGTTTTATATTTTTAAAAAATTCACCATGGCAGAAGCTTCTCAGAGGAGGAGAAGATGCTCTGGCACTCACTTTGGGGAGGAGCTCCTGCCTATCCTAGGCGAGGGTGGGAGAGAGGGCTGTGCCCACTGGGGGCTGAGCAAAATGCCACCTGCTTCGTCTCCCTGAGTCCCTGCTGTGCCCGCTGGGGCTTCCACCTGCCAGAAGAAGGGGTAAAGGAGGAGATCTGTGGCAAGGGGAAGGGCCTTCTGCTCTGCCCATGGGGACTGTGGAAGGACCCCAGGTTGGGGAAGCTGTACAGCACCTATCCTGGGATCCTCTCTGCTGTCCTCTTGGGGGTCACTTGGGTCCAAAGGGGCTTCTCCCCTGCCTAGGGAGACAGGGGTGTCAGGGGTGGCTGTCCAGCCATAATCTACAGTCAGAAGAGCAGAGCGCACACACCCCAGTCCCAGAGCAGCCCTTCCGGTTGTGCATGTGGTGAGTACCACGTGGCTGTGGAGGGACGTGAGGCTGGTCAGGGTGGAGAGGCTGCAGGGGGAGAGAGCAGAGCCTCTGAGGGGCAAAGCGAAGGGGCCTCTGATCTGCCTTTGGTCAGAGGAGGGCAGGTGGGCCCAAGCTCTCTCAGCACCTGAACTGCCCCTTCTCCAGCACAGGTTGGATGGTGGAGGTGTCCGTTTCACAAAGGGGACTCTGCTGGGCATTTCTGGTGGGGGATTCCAGTTTGCCATCCAGGCATCAACTCCAAGGCTGCTTGGGAGTTTGTGGCCGCCTGACCCAAGTTATCTCTGGTCCGACTCGCACTGGGGCCCGCACATTAGGCCTAGTTTTGAACTTGGGACAGTGGTGATGTCATCTAGAGTTGGGGGATATTACCCTTGCCGTGGACTGCCCCCGCCCCCCGCAAGCTGTGCTGCTTCCTGAGCCACCTTTCTTGGGTCAATGGCAGAAGAAGGGAGGAAGGCTCACACTGCATTTATTTCACACAAGGGAAAGCACAAGAAAAGTTCACAATCTATTTCACGCATTCTTCTCAGAGAATATTTGCAGCAGAAGTACAGTATTGCTGAGAATTTGTTACACGTAAGCTCCTCTGATCCCTTCCCCATCTAGCTTGGGATTTTTAGAGGTCTGTGAGAGGCGTTGTGATTGCTAGCAAAGCTAAACCTGTGAATGGGTCCTCAATCGTGCAGTTCTGGAAGCAGTGTTCAGAGAGACCAACGTGGCAAAACAAAATGGGGTTTCTGCTGAAAGACGGCAGCTGCAGGTTTGGCTGCCCGCTGGCTGATGAACTCGGCGGGACAGAGACCAAGTTCCTGCTGGGGGCAGAGGAGATTCTCATCCGCAACTGCTAGTCCCACATGCAGCCGAGATAAGAACGCAGCTTGTGGGGAAGCCGTCCTGTGAGGGACAGACTGAAGCAGAAAGCAGCCAGCAATGGCCTTTGCCAGGGCCTGGACCATGGGATTTCCTGCTCCAGTCCAAGATGCATCAGATGGCAAGTAGCTCAGATCTGGGTTGATAGGTGCCACGGTGCTGCCGCGCCTAGGCATCAACACTGACCGCGCACAGGGTCTCCTGGGCCGGGTCCTGTCCCTTTGAAGAGCCCATGAGAGGCCGCCATGGTTCTCTGGACTCTCTCTCAGCTGGCTTAAAGGGGACTTTGCTGAAGATTTGAAAGCCGAACCAAGTCCTGGAGCTGGGTCTCACCTCTCCATCTCTAGTTGCATTCGGGGGGAAAAGACCTGGGATCCAAATATCCAATGTACCCTGGAGGGAGGCAGAGAGGAGACAGCCCTGCTCCCAAGTCAAACTAGATCTGTGTGTAAGCACCGCATGCTGAACCATCAAGGTAGCAGGACTCTTTCTGGAGCAGGCTAGAGGAGGTCAGCACAAACCATTCACAGGCTCCCAGGGAAACAGCAGATAAGCGATCAGAGACAATCTGCAGAATGTATGGTGGGCTTAGCCTCTACTTTGGATCCAGGTCAGGCCCAATGCTTCTTCCTGGAGCTCCTGGCCAGCTGGATCCTTCTGAGAAGCCAACTGACTTAGCACGCCAGAAGACACGGCATTTCCAGAACACGAGGAGACTGCTTGCCGAACAATGGATACGTTGGTCTCTGTACTGCTCTCAATTCTGCAGGTGCCCAGAATCTCCTGCAGGGCATTCTGACTCAGACAACCCAAATCATGCAGGATTCGACAAAAGTCATGACGGAACCTGATGCCCACAAAGGCATAGAGGATGGGATTCAGACAGCAGTGGCTGTAGGCAAGCATCTCGGTCACAGTGATGGCACTGCCCAGCCCTTCTTCCACTGTACACGTCTTCCCCATGACCTCCAGTTTGATAAGTGTGTCCCAGAAGATGACAACGTTGTAAGGGGTCCAACAGAGCAGGAAGACGCTGGTGACCGCAATGGCCACCTTGATTGCTTTCTGCCGCTGCAGCCGCTGAGACTGGCAGAGGAGCCTCACGATGGCTGTGTAGCAATAGCCCATGACTCCCAAGGGCAGGAAGAAGCCCACCAGGTGGTAGAGGAAGCGCTTGGCCAGCCAGGAATTGATGCCATGCGGGCCGTACTCCGTGAAGTAGCAGACGCTGAGGTTGTTCTGCTGGGCCCAGACTTCTGTAAACAGCAGGTCAGGCATGGCCAGCAGGAAGGAAGCGAGCCAGATCCCCAGGCAAGTCAGGTGAATGGAGAGGCCACGCTGCCTCTGGAAGGTCTGCAGGGCGCACACCACGGCCAGGTAGCGGTCGACACTGATGCAACTAAGTAGGAAGCTGCTGCTGTAGAAGCTCATCCGGTTGGCAGCACTCAGCAGCTTGCAGAGGAAAACTCCAAAAACCCAGCCGGCTAAGCTTTCCACCACACCAAAGGGGAAGGTGAGCAGCAGCAGGAGGTTGGCGAGGGCGAAGTGCAGGAGGAAGAGCTCAGTGGAAGTACGGGAACGTCTGCAGCGCCACAGGATGACGATCACCAGCAGGTTGCCCAGGCTACCCACCAGGAAGATCAGCAGGTGGGTGAAGGGCACCAGGACATTCTGGAAGTGGTGTGTGGGCCTGCCCTCCGCCTCAGGGCACAGGTAATCCTCGTAGGAGTAGTTCCCTTCACTGTCCGTCAGGTTGTACTCATAGGTCTGGGGAAGGGAGAGACAGGGATAGGGGACTTATGGGCGGGCGGGCTTCACTGTGCTGGCCCTTGCAGATGGAGGCTGCTATCCAGACCCTCTCCCCCGTTTTCCCCCCATCCTTGCCCCCTTCTTCTTCCAAGGGGAGGCATCATTCCAAGACATGGAGCATGCTCAGTCCTCACCGGACAAATGGGGAGTGTGCTGATTGGAATCCAGGTGTCCCCAAGTTGTTTCTAGGGGCAGCTTTTACTTTTGCCCCTCAAGATACTTAAAAGCAGCTTCTCAGTGTCTGAAGCAGACAGCGAACGAGTTTGCCTACCCTTTTAAAAATATCTGTTGTTTCCAGGCACCCAGTCTAGTCTACAATTCCTCTGTTGCCCATCTCAGCAGCCTTCGTGCTGACCGACCGAACAGAGCAGGAGTGGGCAGTCTGGGCTATCTAGCTGGGGCCCTCGAAGATGAGTCACCCCAAGCGGCGCTGCCGCCAAGCACCTTGGCCCAGCACTGGAGCCTGTGTGAACAACAAACAGGAGGGCAATGGGCATCAACCCCTGATATTGGCTGACTTCATGAGCAAACGGATTTAGGCTTTGCTCATTGGGAAGTACAGCCAGCCTGCACATGAACCAGCAGAGCAGGGAGATTTCTTTGTATCTGGAGAGAAGAAGCTGATACAAGATCCTTTTTTTTTTCTGGAGGGGAACAAATCTGCCCAACTGATTCTCTTGCACTCTAAGCATATGTTGGATTTTCTCCTCTCTTTTTTTGCGGCACTTTCACAACCCAGTTAACTTCTGCTTAACTTCTCTAGCCAACTTCATGAGCCCTGCATTTTTCAAACCATAGCCCTTCCCAGTCTTTGAAGGGGCTTTTTTATAGTGTGAAAGCTGCCATTTCAAAAGGTGAAGAGGAAGCAGATGTTGAAATTGAGGGGGTGGGGGTGGGGGTGGGTTCATTGCTCTCTTTCCTTAAAAGATGAAAAAAATGTGCGGGTTCAGCAGCTTAATTAAATTTGAATTTAAAAATGGAGTTGCAAACCAATTGCAGTCTTATAACGGGATCCTACATGTTTACTCAAAAGTAAACCCTGAGAGAGAAGGAGATGAACATGAAATGGAAACACAAGTGAGGGAGAAAGCAGGTATCCACAGAACATTTCCCCCTTACCTGCGGGGGGAGGGGGGGGCTGTTTATCCCTTTCACTCTTCACATGCTGAAAGCCCGTGCAGTTGTTTCACCCTTTCCCTCCTTCCGTGGGGGGGGAGGGGGGGCACACACAGCAATGCAAAGTTTACAAGTTAATCCCAAAATTGTTGGAATCCTCTATAAACTCCCAGATTAATCCAAACAGCTCAATTTTCAAGGTAGTTTCAATTAACAAGAAATTTATCTCCAAATATTCTGTTTGCAAAGATAAGCCCTAAGGTGCTTTTGACTACTTTGGGTGGCCATGAGAATTCCTTGGCCTGGTTTATATATCATGGTATATATAAACCACAGTTTCTTGAATAAGCCACAGTGCCTACCTTCACATATGTCCAAAAAATAAAAACAAAAAACCCCACACCTTATTGGTTATTGTGACTTCACAAACCAGAGTATGGATAGCTGTGGGTCACTGAACCCCCTGCCTCTCCAAGGCCCAAAGCGTTGGATGAGTTATACACTCAGAAAGACCACATCTAAATCTCGTGCTGCATAAAATGAATAGGGAAGCCACCTGATCGCCTGAAACTGCAGATGCCTTCCTTACAACCTCAGCCTCTCTGCCTACGGAGGCAGAAGATGAACTGGCCTTGAAAAACAAGCCGGGCCGCTCTTCCCCAAACGCCACCCCAAGACGCCCAGCCTCGTGGGAGCTCCCGCTTCAGGGTTGCTCCTGGTCAGCTTGGCTCCAGCAGGGCAGGAGTCCATGCCAGCCCCAGCTGAGGGAAAGAGGGAGAGAAAAAGAGAAGTCAGTTCTTCTCTTTTCTCTCCTGGGGGACCGATGGGTTCTGCTGACTGGCCCTCAGCGGAAACCTCACCACACTCTGCAGTACCAGCTTAACTACCCCTGCAGATGGCTCCTTCCGGTTCTACCGAAGCCCATCATCCTGTTGCAGAGCTGCTCTCTCTGCTTTATTAAGGGGTCCTCTTCAGGCTTCTCCCAACACTTCCCTGCCCCCCCATACTCATGGAGGGGGGCACAGCTCCTGTCGTTTGCCTCTGTGTGAATCCATTTGGAGATCAGCCAGTAAACAAAAAAAATGGGGGGGTATTAAGCAGCCACTTCCTTCTGAAAGTACCCCCTTGAGAATTTTTGCAGCAGGCCTCCAGGGGCTGATTCCACCTCAGAAGACCAGGGGCTCAAAAACAGGAAGACGCCAGGCTGAGGGGCTGCCCTCAATAGAAGCCACAGCAGCTCAAGAAAATCTGCGGCTCAGTTCACTCCCCTCACGCTTCCCTGACCCCATTGCAGCTGCAGCTGGCCTCTTGCACCCATCCTCCTGGAGGTGCACATGGACATCCATTCAGGTTTTGAGCCTTTGGCAGCAAGCCGCTTCCAGACAGTGCAAAACCTTGTGAGATGCAGGCCGTCAACCCCCCGGGTACAAAGTACCAGAAGATCCAAGAGCGCCCGGCAGCAGAGGTGCCACCACTGGGCAATCCAGCTTCCAGTTTGGTCTCCTGCCCAAATCATAAGCATTAGCAGCTTTTCCTGAACTAAGCTAAAGCAAAGTCTTGGGGTCTCTCAAAGACAACCTGGTGCTCCAGCCGCATGCTTCGTGGCAGACACAGCTTCCCTCCGGTAGAATTTATCCCAACCAAAGGATAGGGCGCCTCCGGTCCTTTTCAGTGGATACCGATAAGCCACCCAGAGGGATCCTCCATCCTCTCCAGCAGCACCTGCAGCCACAGCGGCTCCCACCAGGCTGAGCACCCGCTGGGTAACATTTCCCTCTGCCCGCTCACGGAGCCAGTCAGAGCAGCGGCCGTCACTCACCCAGTTCATGACGCTCTCCAGGGAGATCCTCAACTTGCCCATGATTTGGGAAGTGGTGGCAGCAGGGCACTCGTGTCCTTTCGGCAGAGAAAGGGCCAAGTGAGGAAGGCCAGTGAAGAACAGGAGCCTCCTGATTTGCAAGCCAAATTCAGTTTCAAGATTAACTTCCTGTTTGGGACGCCACGGCGAGTGCACATCTCTCATCTGTCTCCTGAGTAAAAGGCTTTCAAACTTCTGTATTATCAGACTGTGAGGATGAGGACTTTCATCATTCGGTAAATAAAACTGTCCATTATATGTTGCTTTGTTTTTAACAAGCGATTGGAATGGCGACCAGACCTAAGCATTCAACAGCTGGTTCAATTTCAGCTACACCACTCTCTGCCGAGGCAGGCAAGATGGCGGAGGAGGATTCTGCTGCTGCTTTACCAAAAGAGATCCTGGCTTAGGTACGACCCTTGAAGCCGATCCAACAAGATCAGGCAGAGCTTAAATGTGATTTAAGACCAATGCAAGAAAAAACGGCTAGCTGTGAGGATTGTTTAAATGCCCATGAGACTATATCTCAAGCCAGTCATCATATTTTGGATAAATGAATTACTTATCTGGAGTCACAATGGCGTAGGAAAAACCTACGTGTGGTTGGTATTGAAAACCCTCCGAGTCAATCAAACCTGGCCGAATTTATGGAAGATTTTATCAGAAAGCTCCTTTGGGAATGAACTTTCCAGTCCAGACTGATCATGTGATTAAAATTCCTTTAATGAGAAGGAAGACTGGAACTAGTTCCAGTATTATTATTGTGCAATTCCTCTGTGTTTATTATTTATATATCACATTTATGCAGCCGCCCACCTCACACAAGGCGACTCTGGGTAGCATACAGCAGTTGAATAAAATAACAAATAGATAAAAGCAATCATCATAAAAGATAAAAAAGTGATTATTAAAATGAAAATGTTATCAAAAATTTTAAAACTCATAAAATATACAAACCCCATGGAGAGAGCAGAATATCAATTACAGTGGAGCCATCTAAGAGTGTCTCCAGTTCCCAAAGACCCCCAGGCCTGACGACACAACCAGATCTTGAGGGACTTCCTAAACAGGGAAGCATGGAAGGGGCGAGCCTCACTTCAGTGGGGAGAATGTCCCACAAGGAGAGCACCACGGCAGAGGAGGCCCAGCTCCTGGGATCCACCAGATGCAATTCCCTGGCCGATGGAACCCATAGGATACCTTCCCTGCCAGATCTCATGGGGCGGGCTGATGTGGTTGTGTGGAGGCGGTCCCTCAGATAAGAGATGAGATCTTATGTATATTTCACCAGGAATCAGTAAAGTCTCCTTTGAAGTGGGGCTCTAGTCAAAGCAAGATATCAATTTATCCCCATTTTACAAAAGAGGTTTCAGAAAAGGGAAAGATGTTTACAAAAGCTCGAAGTCTTGCCAGATCAATACAACTTCATGTGTTTTCCAGCTACGTTCTGTGTTAATCAAGATCAGATTCACAAATTTGATAATCCCTTGAATGCAGAGATCTTTATCCTACATTTAAAATCTGCAGATGGACAAGCTTGATTGTGTTTTATTCTATGGAATCTGCCGCAGGAGAAGTTGGAGTTTGCCTACGGTAAAAAAACTCAGTTTAAAAGTCTACATGCCGGTACTTTTTTTTTTGTACTATTCGTGTTTGTTTTGCTTATTTCTGGAGTCTGAGCATACCGCCAACTCTATCGCTTATTTTTAACACAGTACTCTTTTTTTCTTCTTCAGTTAGTAACGTTTGAAACTTCCATAATTTTCAGTGTAAGAAGAGAGCTGAAACCACCGCGCCATCCCCTTTGGGAAGTCAACTTCTGTGATTTTTTCTTCTTCTTTCCTTCTTTACATATTTTTTTTCTTTTTTCTTTAAGATTCCTTTTAATTTTTTATAATGTTGCTTGGTTTTTTTGTTTTTTTGTATATAATCGTTTTTCTTTTTTTCCTTTAAGTATAGATTCTACATACACATAAAAGAATGGTTAAACTGAGACTTCATAGAGGTTCTACGTCTGTGAGCAATACTAGAAAATATGTTAAATATTTAAACATAGAAAAGTTTATTATTAGATATTTGTTAAATGGTACAGGTCATAAAATGAATGGCATTGAGAGAATATTGATAAGCGGGCCAAAATAAAATTTATGGATGAAGGTAGTTTAAATTTTAAAGGGTTGCGAGAATCCAAGAAACAAAACGTAACCTTAGCATATTCAAAATTGTTAAGGGCAGATATCGCTTATCTACAAAATCATTACACAGAAACCCTTGCGGCGTTCCGATGTTCCCTTCTGCGGGCGCGCAAGGCGCCTCAGCCGAAGTCGGCCTCAGGTGCGCTCCGCGCGCGCGCGCGAGGCAGACGCGCATCTCCCGTGTCTTTATCAAGGGCTGAGCACGAAACTGGCTCCGCGGGCCCAGGTTTTCGCGCCGGTCGTTCTGCTAACGCACACCCGCGAGCTTGGAGGGGGGCGGCGTCCCCGGGAACCAGAACTCCTGACGGGGAACGCCGGGGGTCCGGCCGGGCCTCGGTCCGGCGCCCTCGCCCGCAGCGTCGCCGCGCGGTTCCGAAGGAGAGCCGCGCCGCTCGCTCTCGCCCGGTGCCTCGACATAACGCCGCCTCGCCGGGAGCCGCCGCCGCCGGGCTCCCAGCTCGGC